GGGAGCACTAAAGGGAGGGAAGGGCATGCCTTTAACCCGCACTTGGGTGAGGCAAAGACATAAAGTGTAACTATAATGTTTGTACCCTCACAATACCCTGGAATTAAAAAAAAAAAGTATAGGGAATATTACAGGAAAAAGGACTCAGTTTAGGGTCATGAAACATGCAATTATTATTTAGAAATGAATCAGGTCATGAAATTTGAGGATCATTTGTAAATCATGAACATTTCGATATTTACTACAAAGGTATCACAATCATATATTGCTTTACTTCCTTTTCTGTCTCTGCAGCCTCTATTTTCTCTGCTTTTTTTCTATAGAGCACTCTCCTTTATATCCTTCTATCCCATCCCACCCTCTCACCTCCAATATCACCTTTTTCTTATGTTTCAATGAAATATTGGCCTTACCAATTATTTTCGTTAAACTGAAAATAGTAAGACAATTAAGGGATGAAGAACATAAAATATATGCTGCAAGGAATTTTCAGGAAATCACGAAAGATTCCTAACATATTTTATTTTAAATTGAAATATAGGAACACACTCAAGGTAGGAAAATGAATGTTTTATACCAATCAGAGAGATATTTATGGAAAATAATACCTTTAATCATTATAAAACCTACATTTAAATTTTTTATAATATAGATAGCATAAAACTTTCTTCTTGTTTTTATCTAGATACAAAATTTCTGTGACTATATTTAATGAAAGATAGCTACAGATACTGTAAAATGATACCATATTAAAAATGTAATGGACTACCCCAGATTCTTTTCCTAAAATACTGAGGAATTTTCTGTAATAAAGCCAAACTACTATTTCTGTTTCCATGGTGTTTTCCTCCCATTGTCAGTTGTAAAATGAAAAAGATGGTTTGATAATCTCAGTGGTCTTTTATGTCCATGCCTCTTCTATGGTTATGAGAAAATGTTATTATAACTCTTAAGCTATGGTCCTCAGAGACTTATCTTGTATAAAAATGTAGGTTTTTAAACAACACCATCAAAAAGTGGACAAAAGACATAAACAGAAGTCTTTTGAAAGAAGGTAGACAAATGGCCAAAAAAAAAAAAATATGAAAAAATGTTCAACAATACTAATCCTCAGGGAAATACAAATTAAAACCACAGTGAGATACCATCTTACCCCTGTTCAAATGGCCATAATTGAAAAGTCAAAAAACAATAGAGGCCAGCATGGATGCAGAGAAAAAGGAACATTTATGCAATGTTGGTGGGACTGCAAATTAGTACAATCTTTACAGAAAACAGTATGGAGAGTCTTCAAAGAAATAAAAGTAGACTTACCATTTGATCCAGCAATCCAACTACTAGGTATCTACCCAAAGCAAAAGAAGTCATTTTATCAAAAAGACACCTACACTCAAATGTTTATTGCGGCTCAATTCACAATTGCAAAGATATGGAATCAACCTAAGTGCCCGTTAATTCATGAGTGGATAAAGAAAACGTAGCGTGTATGTATATACATACATACTGTGTGCATATACACACCCCCCCCATACACATACAGATACACACACACCAATGAGTACTGCTCAGCCATAAAAAGGAATGAAATAATGTCTTTTGCAGCAACTTGGATGGAACTGGAGACCATTATCCTAAGTGAAATATCTCAGGAATGAAAAAAAAATACCACACACATACTCTCTAATAATTGGGAGCTAACCGATGGGCACACACAGGCACAAAGAGATGTAAAGGACATTGGAAACAATGAAGGAGTAAGGGTAGGAGGGGAGTGAGGGATAAAAACTTACCTATCGGGTACAATGAACACTATTCTGGCGACAGGTGCACTAAAAGCCCTGACTTTAGCATTATAGAATATATCCACATAACAAAAACATTGTACCCACTTAATTTTTTTTTTTAATTTTTAAAAAAATTTTTTCAAATTTAAAAAGATATAGGTTTCTCTGTTTACGTATGTAACTTTAAGATACATTGTCTAAAAATTGATTAGATATTCATATATAAAAGATACTAATAAGGATAAAGCATAATGGTCATTACCTTTGTAATGAATATGCAGCTTCTTACTTTTCTGGTTAGTGGCTTGTCTCTCATATCACTTGTAATTGCTCAATAAAGACTAATGCTTTTTTCTTTACCATTCATGTGTTTCTACAAACTATCTGAATACATGAAAACAACTGTACACTACTGTCAGAACATAGCATATTCAGAGAATAGTAATTTTACATCTCAAAGTAATCAATTTTAAGACAGTCTGTAGCAAAAATTAGACATAAAATGTAGGAACTGGTTTGTATTAAGAATCCATAAGTATAATACATTGAATTTAGCTCTAGACACCTTGGTAAATAAGGACTATAAGGCTCTACAAATATTTGTTATTACAAAAATGAAAAAAAACCATGTTACTTTTAATAAAGCTTAAATATTGATGTTAATATTAGGCAGACTACCTTCCCTAATTAAGATCATCTGTAGACAGAATAAGAAACAGAACTAGACTCTGAGAAGAAAGAGAATGGAGCCAAGTGATTTTCCTTTGTTATTTATCATCACTGACCATTCAAGGTCTTCCTTCTCCACATAATAACTATTAATAAAAGAAAAAGACCTTTGCTATTTTTGTTGGCACACTATTATCTATCCCTCAAATATCCATTCTCTCTTCTCTCTCAAATTCAAAGGGCCCTATTATTAGCTGGGCATATGCTATGGCTTGACTGTCCTTCCAAAATTCATATGTTGAAACACCAAGGTGAGGGTATTAAGACGTGGGGTCTTTGGGAGGTGATTTGGCCATGAGGGCTCCCTCCTCATGGAGGGGATTAGTGCCCTTATAAAAAGGCTTGAAGGAGTGAGTTCGTCCCTTTTTGTCCTTTTGCCCTTCTGTTATGTGAGGACACAGCAACAAGGAGCCATCTTGCAAGCAGCAGTCATCACCAGACACTGAACCTGATGGCACCTTGATCTGGAACTTCTAAGCCTCCAGAACTGTGAGAAACACATTTCTATTATTTATAAATTACCCAGTCTAAGGTATCCGGTTATAGTAGCGGGAAGGGAGTAAGATAGCATACCACCATACCACCTAGGTAAAAGATTGTATCTCATCCTTTATTGTAGCTGGGTATAGTCACATGACTAAGTTTCGGCCAATGAAGTATCAGTGGTAATGAAATGTGGAACATCTGGAATTCTACCATAAAAGAAAGGGCACAACATTCTTAAGATAATACTCTGATTTACTGAGAGCTTACTATGGGACTGGCACTATGCGCATAGTTTTGGGTCATTATTTGAAAGTAAGCTATCAATACAGCTTCCTGTTAAGTTAGGTACTACCATTCCTATTTTACACATGAGGATCTTAGATTAACTTGCTCAAGATTTCACAGTACATAACCGGGAAAGTTGGTATTTGAACTAAGGTCTGTGTAATTTCAAAGTCCATACCACTTTGGCGGTAGAATACCACCCAAAATGCTTAAAGTTCTTCATTCTTTTATAGCATGGGGGAACTAAAATTTTAAAAACCACTCTGTGAGTGGAGGCAGTGGGATTATCAATTCAATTCAGTTTAAGACATAGAATAATTTTACAAGGCACTGAGAAGCTTGGACAAGCCACAGGAACCTTGATGCACTGATTATTTTTTTTTTGCTTGCCCTTGGTCATCGTGGTGAATATTTAAATCATAGAATTTTTATATTTCATTATTATAAAACTTATTTTGTTTTTAAAAACAAACAAAACCCCAGAAAACTAAGGTCTCTACAACAAAATTATTTAAAAATCAGATAAAAAAATGAGAAGACAATACCTTCAACTGTTGGCTGTATTTCTTCTGTTTTTGGAACAAAAATTCTGATTACACTTGTGTTGATATAAATCAAAGGTAAATTGCGTGATGTGAGTGTATGGGTCCTCATGGGCTGACCAGGAGATTTTCTTTTCTCTTTTTCAGTTCTTGGTAGTTTTGCTTGAAATATACTTGCAATGGCATTAAGCAAAGGAAAACAAAGGACAATATCAAAGGCCTGTGCTGAAAGAAGAATTTCATGAAGAAAATGAGGGGAGCCATCCGCTAAACCTTCAGATAATTTATGAAAACTTCTTCGCTCATTTCTTGATGTTAACTTGTGGCGGACATTTTTTGTTACAGCTTTTGTGTATGTCAGAGAGAGAAATCCATGCTGCTGATGAGAGCCATCTAGAAGTTTTGCAGTTGTCTGTTCCAGGAAAAGAAAATCACAATACACATATCATTAAAAAAAAGAATACTATTTGAAAGAAGAAAATGACCTCAGTTAGTATTTTGACCTTTTCGTCTTACCTACCCTTTATCTCTTAATAACAGATGACTGATCAATTCTACAGATAGGACAAAAGCTTCTAACAACTGAACTAAAAGTTAGGAATCCTCAGTTCCAGTTCTAGATAGTGAGAGAGATAACTAGTATCTTTGTGCTTATTTCCAAGATTTCTACATTTTCTGTAACATTGAGAATTTGAAAAAGATTATCTCTTGATTCTATGTTTTCATTTCTTAATATTTCGTCATGAGCACCAACAGGCTATCATTAAATAGGTCACAGAAGGATTGTTTATTCAGGAGAAATTGAAATAACCATGTTACATATTTTCATGTGGATCAAACCTGAATAGGCCAGATGATTGCCTATACTAGATGGGACATAGCATTTATAAGAACAGAGTTTTTCCTTCAATAATTTGGCTAATTTATATGAAGACAGAGCCCATAAAAGATGCCTCATTGATACCACCATTTCATAACTGAACTAACCAGTTAATACATCTTTAAAGGGAATAGTAATGTGACACAAAAATATAACATTTGTCTTTTAGAACTTGCCTATTTTCAGTAGCTATCACATTGTTTTCAAAACCTATCAGCTATCCTACAACTCATAATCTTTGTTATACTACTATACTAGTAAACATATAACATTGATTGAGTATAAAATATATCATAACTTCAATATTTCTGATAAAACTAGCCCAATCAACTCTCATATTTAAATTGCACACTGTAAACAAATTATAATAAAACAGCACACTTTAAGAGGGTGAAGTAAAATATATGCTTTTGTATTCCTCAACATACAAAAAGAACACCTATTGAAAAAAATTTTCTTGAACAAATATACATAAAATCCAGTTTTGCAAATTACTCAGCATAAAATTAGAGCGTTTTTATATTCCACATTCCCCAACCGTTTTCCCAACACCTGAAAGAGTTTTTAAGATTAGAGCCCAAAGAGGGGATTGTTAACAGGGGAACTGAACACAGGAGGAAAACAGAAGAGAATGTATTCACTTAAAGAGAAGAAAGTAAGAAATAGGAAAGCAGTGGTGTGTCTGAGCCTGTGTCATCCCATCACTCCTAAACCTCTTTCATTTACTTCCACTTTCTTCCTCTCTTGTTGTTGCCTTAACATCCAATGACATGGTAAGAGGGAAAAAAAAGTATGCAATTCAGCTATAACTGCTAATTTTGCTTTTAATCTGGATTTTATAATGAAGGAAGGAAAGAAAGAAATTATCTTTGTACGTGTTTTTTCCCCAAGTTAATTGATCATTTTTTAAAAACTTGGAAAGTAAGCATTAAATGGTTGTGCAATGTAATAATTTTCCCCCTAATTGTCTGCCCTCAAATCATTTTTTACTGTTCCCAACATTTTCACTGCTTCTCCTACCTGATTTCCCTTTCTTTTTTATTTCTATACTCAAAATAAAAGATGCACAGTAAATCAGAAAACTGCTACCAGTCTTGTCACCATGTTGCTAGACAGCAGACAGTAACGGATGGAGTAGAGTCGCTGTGGTGTAGCCCCAGTGGGAGAGGTCACAGCAACACTGTCTGTTCCAGGTGTCTTAAACTGGGGTGGGGGATAGTATTGACCACTAATCTAAATATCCAATTCATAATAAATATTAATAGCAACATTTGAATAATGGAAATAGTGTAAAAGGTATTTAATTGTATGAATGCTTTGATTTGGAAAAACATTGTTAACCATATTCGAATGTAAGCATTATTGAGAGGTAAGATACAGGAGGTAAGAGGGGTTTTTCTTTTGTTTGTTTTTTTAAACTGCTGCATTCCTAACTCCCTTAATATAAGGAAAAAAATAAACACTAGCTAAAGTTCAGGTAATATAAATATTATTTTCATACAATAATATCTTATACTATTTGAAATGAAAAATTAGAAAACACTGATAAAGAAATTTTAATAAAAGGCATTTAATTAAAAAATTTTAGAAAAATGATAAAGAAATTTTAAAATATTAATAATAAACTTAGGATTTTTCATGACTACATGTTAAAATTATTAAGAATATTTCCCATAGACACTAGTGAACATTCAAAGACAGTAAAATAAATCTAAATAGAGGCTAGGTGCAGTAGCTCACATCTGTAATCCTAGCACTTTGGGAGGCCAAGGTGGGAGGATCGCTTGTATCCACTTGTTCGACATCAGCCTGAGCATAGTGAGACCTTGTCTTTGCAAAAAATAAAAAAAAATTAGCCAGGCAGTCCCAGCTACTCCGTGGGGCTGAGGCAGGAGGATCGCTTGAGCCCAGGAGTTGGAGGCTACGGTGAGCTACGATGACACCACTGCACTCTAGCCTAGGCAATAGAGCAAGACCCTGTCTCAGAAACAAAGACACAAGAACAAACAAAAATCCCTAAATAGAACTTCCACTGATATAAAAGCCACACTTTAGATACATTTTTTTCCAGCACTAAAGAGAGACTATGCTAGGAAAGTTCAACATCGAACTGGAAAATAGCATTTGCTGTGTAAATAAACTATTAAACATTAAATTTAGGAACATATTATTTAAAATATTTTTGTAATGGTAAAGATATATGCCTTAAACCTCTTTTGACTTGCAAAAAGGGAAAAGAAATAGTTTACACATGCTGAGAAAATTTCTAGTAATGTCTGCAGTGATTTAATAAATTCTTCAAAGAATGGTTATTGCCATTGTGATAATTTGCTTTTAGTATTTAAAAATTTGCTTTTAGTATTTACAAATTTAAAATTTAAAAATTGCTATTTAAAAATTTGCTTTTAGTATTTAAAAACTGCATGCATTTTTCATAACTTTAATACTATCACTTAAAAGAAATTAGCTTAAGAACATACTAAGGTGTCTTGTACTATTTAGAAAAAGCAAGGTTCTAAACTTTTAAAAGTCACTGGTATACAGTCTAGTGTGCATCTTCTATCCAATCAATGACAGAAGTACAATCTTGTTCAGATTCAAGAGGGCACCAAATAATGTAGTTCAAATTAGTTATGAGAAGACAAGCCCTTAACAATCGAAAAAAAATAACAAAAAGCAATCTCAGTAAGAATCATAAACAGAATGACAAATGCAGCATTGGTCAACTCTTGATCATTCAATACATGCACAATTAAAAAAACATATTTAATATCCTATTTTGATTTTCTTATATTGATGGTAAAATCAGTTTGTATTCACAAAACCATAGTGACAATAGCATGTGCAAGTGACTCAGAAACAGATTATAGTGGAAAATCAGTCTATGATTTAAAATTGCATTATAGTTCATTTACAAAGTGGATGATAGAGGGGGGAATGAAAATCAAGAGTTGACTTTATGGCTAGTTCAGTTCCTTCTCTGGGTTCCTGTTAATAGGAGTTCTGTAGAATAAATTTAAAAATAATTTCTTACAGAAGGAAAGAAGCCAGAGCAATTACTGAAAGGGTCCTGCTTGCTGATGGGTCGAACCAACAAGGTGCGTCTGTTCAGCTTGTCAGTACAGGAAAGGAAGACACCTCCACATTGCCCCAAAGACCAACACTCTTCCCCAAGGCTTGAGGTGATGGACAGAAGCAAAGAAGGTGAAAAGACAAAAAAAGCAATAAAAGCCATAAGCAAAAAAAAAAAAGTCTGGATAGTTTTTAATTCTGCTCACGTTTGCATAGGTTTAGGTTTGAGCCACTGCTAGGTATGGCCTCTGCCTGGACCATCTTCTGCAAAAGCATTGTTAATGGAAATAAACAAAAAAGAATTACTTCTAGTGCAAAATTACTACTTTTAGTTTATGATAAAGAACAATCCAGCATGAACTCACTTATGAAATAGAAAAAAATTCCAAAAAGTCAACATAATGTACATTAAAAATAAAGTATATTAATAAAAGCAATCCTACCTTCACCTTTTTGATAAATTTACTTAATTGTTATAACAGGAAGATGGTTACAAAACATGAGCAGTTTAAAAGAATAGATAGTTTTAAATTTATAAGGCAATGGAGGAATAGGTCAAAAAGAATTTACTCTGAGCTCTAATTCTTGTAACCATTAGTCCTACTGCATGAAAGAACAAAGATAAACAGTATAAAATATATTTTCAAAAATCATAAAAACTAAATGAGTCTCACCAAAGGTTTTTCTTTGCACTGTAGAAACACTCCTTCAAAATGTCCTGACTGCCAACCTTCCCCTGGCCTGGAAAACATAAGTTCACCTTATCTGTTCTCTTTAAATTTTCTGAGTTAAAAAATAGAGAGTATACATAACTACTTCAAATAGTTCTAAAGTAAACAACACTGCACTGAACTAAAACATGGATCTGACGATGCAATCAAAAGAACAATCGACATAAGTGCCACACTCCGATAGTTCTTCATAGGAACATTTGTTCTAATGGTAAATTGTACATCTCTTTGGCTGGATGTTAACTTCTATCTCATCCATGAGACTGTAAGGTCCATAAGGGTAGGATCTGTGTCTATTTTTGTTAAACACTACATTCCCAGTGCTTAGCATAGCACTTGGCACATAATATACAACTCAAACAACATTTGAGTTAAATGAATGAAAAAATTACCTAAATATTTAAAATTTATATAAATTTAACAGTAAAGTCAGGGATAAACTATAACATAGAATATTCATATCATTAAAAATTATTTCAGCTATGACATTATGTTGATGTATTGCTACAAAGGTCATTTTGATATAAATACATATCATTTCAAAGGAACTAAAGAGCTAAACATTCCATTATCAAAAGCTAATTAATGATTCACCGTTAATATGGTGAAAATAATTATCATATGATTGGTAAGATAATACTATTATAACAGGTCCTAATATATATCCAAAACTATTTTGTTATCCATAATTATAACACACTTTTTTAGTTGTGACAGATTAGTTATTAATATAAACAATGATATATGAAATAATAGATAAAAATTCAAATACTTTTAATATAGAATTAGACACTTGATAAATTGAAAAAATACTTTTTAGGGCAAGTAACACATCAACATATGTACAGAAATCACATATGTGCTTCCGCAGGCATACAATAAAAAATTGTTGAATGAGTAAATGTTATGAATTCAGAAAGAAAGAAATTTTAAGGCTGTTTCTAAGCCATAAACTATGAAATTGAAAATGTGATGTTATTTAAAAAATATTTTTAAAAAGCATTTGTAAGTTTTATGGTATGTGAATTATATTTCAACTAAAAAATAAAATATCAGAGTACTACTATAAAGTCATAAAAAAGAACTTGTATTTTAATTTGGGAAAAATTAATGACAAAACTGCTATATATCTTTGTGAAAATATCTAAAACCTAACTTTTTTTTTACCATTATTTATTATTACAAACAAATCATATTTGCACATAATCATACTTCTGATTGAAATTTATTAGGGAAGAAACAATGGTTCTAGGAACATCCATCACATCTATATTAAATCATCTGTGAGGTAAGAAAAGAGTCATCAAAGTGCTAAGGGACTTTGCTATCATTCCATCTCAGAGTATAATTATATTGCTATAGGCAGTAGATGGGAAGTATACAACAAAAACCAGACCCATCAACTGTGTTCCAGGAATCTTAGCAAATACGCAACACACAAAATAAATTGTGTATGATTAGTAAAAGTAGTTTATTTATTTCATTTAATAAGGCAATGTGGATATTTATGAAAAGATTCACCATGCTATAAAACAAAATTTTATTACACTCCATATATAAATGAATACTAAGTAAAATTAACCAAGTTATTTGCTAAGAAACCCCTTTGAGAATAAGTACAGGCATACCTTGTTTTGTAGGCTTCGCTTTATTATACTTTGCCGATACTGAGTTTTCCCAATTGAAGGTTTATGATAACCCTGCATTGAGCAATTCTATTGACACAATTTTTCCAGCAGCATGTGCTCAATTCATATCTCTGTAACACATTTTCATAATTTTTGCAATATTCCAAAGTTTTTCATTATCATTATATCTGTTATGGTGTTATGTGATCAGTGGTCTTTGATGTTATTATAATCGTTTGGGAGCACCATGAACCACACCAAGATAAGATGGCAAATTTAATTGACAAATGTTGTGTCTGTTCTGATTGCTCCCTGTTACTCATCACTCTTCCTGGAGATCCAACAATATTGAAATTAGGCCAATTATTAATATAATAATAACTTATAAAATGGCTTCTAAGTGTCCAAGTGAAAGGAAGAATGGCAAATCTCTCACTTTAAATCCAAAGCTAGAAAAGATTAAGCTTAGTGAGGAAGGTATGTCGAAAGCCAAGACAGACCAAAAGCTAGGCCTCTTGTACCAGTAAGCCAAGTTGTGAATGCAAAAAAAATGTTCTTGAAAAAAATTAAAAGTGCTACTCCAGTGAACACAGGAATGATCAGAAAGCAAAACAGCCTTAATGCTGGTATAGAGAAAGTTTTATTGGTGTGGATAGAAGATCAAATCAGCCACAACAATCCCTTAAGCCCAAAGCAAAGCCCTAACTCTCTTCAATTCTATAAAGGCAGAGAGAAGTAAGGAAACTAAAGAAGAAAATTTGAAGCTAGTGGAGGTTCGTTCATGAGGTTTAAGGAAAGAAGCTACCTTCATAATTTGAAAGTGCAAGGTGAAGCAGCAAGTACTAATCTAGAAGCTGCTGTAAGTTATCCAGAAGATCTAGATAAGATCATTGTTGAAGGTGGCTACACCGAACAACAGATTTTCAATGTAGACAAAACAGCTTTCTATTGGAAGAAGACGCCATCTAGGACTATCATAGCTAGAGAGGAGAAGTTAATACCAGGCTCCAAAGCCTCAAAGGATAGGCTCACTCTCTTGTTAGGGACCAGTGCAGCTGGTGACTTTAAGTTGAAGCCAATGCTCATTTACCATTCTCTAAATCCTAGAGCTCTTAAAAAATATGCTAAATCTACTCTGTTTGTGCTCTATGAATGAAACAACAAAGTCTGAATGACAGTACATTTGTTTACAGCATGGTTTGCTAAATATTTTAAGCCTATTATGGAGAGCTATTGCTCAGAAAAACTGATTTCTTTCAAAATATTAATGCTCTTCAACAATGCATCTGGGCACCCAAGAGCTCTGATGGAGATGTACAAGGAGATGAATGTTTTTTCATGCCGGCTAACACAACTTTAAGTTTGTAGCCCATGGATCAAGGAGTAATTTTGACTTTCAAGTCTTATTATTTAAGAAATACATTCTATAAGGTTATAGCTGCCATAGATAGTGATTCCTCTAATGGATTCTGGGCAAAGTAAATTGAAAACTTTCTGAAAAGGATTCGCTTTAGATGCCATTAAGAACATTTGTGATTCATGGGAGGAAGTCAAAATATTAACATTAACAGGAATTTGGGAGAAGTTGATTCCAGCCCTCACGGATGACTTCAAGAGGTTCAGGACATCAGTAGAGGAAGTAACTTCAGAAACGGTGGAAACAGCAAGAGAACTAGAATTAGAGTGGAGCATGAAGATAAGGAGTAAGTGAATTGCTGCAATCTCATGAGAAAACCTGAATGGATAAGGAGTTGATTCTTATGGATTAGCAAAAAGTGTAGTTTCTTGAGATGGAAACTACTCCTGGGGAAGATGTTGGGAACACTGTTGAAATGACAACAAAAGATTTGGAATATTTCATAAATTCAGTTAATAAAGCAGTGGCACACTTTGAGAAGACTTCTTTCTATTTTGAAAGAAGTTCTACTGTGTGTAAAATGCTATCAAACAGAATCATATGCTATAGAGAAATCTTTCATGAAAGGGAGAGTCAATCAATGTGGCTAAATTAATTGTTGTCTGATCTTAAGAAATTGCCGGCCGGGGGCGCGGTGGCTCACGCCTGTAATCCTAGCTCTCTGGGAGGCAGAGGCAGGCGGATTGTTTGAGCTCAGGAGTTCGAAACCAGCCTGAGCAAGAGCGAGACCCCATCTCTACTAAAAATAGAAAGAAATTAATTGGACAACTA